TTGTCTACACTAGAATTTATCTAGAAACTAGAAATAATTTATAAGGCAAAACAACGTTTGTCGGGTTATCTAGTATATATATATAATAAGCCATTGCAATCACTCGTACAAGTATGACTTGAGCGTATTTCAAATATATCGCCCGCTACCTCTGGGTTTAGCGCGTTACTATCTGTCAAAAGCATTAAACACTTTATGAGAGATTACCAAGTACTTAATCAGCTCAGAAATTGTCTCTCTCTTTTACAATGCTTTCATCAAACTTTAAACTATGTATGGCAAATTAGCAACTACTTGATCAGCTAAGAAGTTGCCTTATTCTCTTACAATGTTTTTATCAAATAGCTTCTTCTTTTTCAATGTCAAACAGTAAACTGTATATGACAGACTACCAAGTATTACGATGTCTTACGATGTCTTCATCAAACATCAAACTATGTATAACAGCTTATCAGGAACTTGAACAGCCCAGAAGTTGCCTTCTTGTTTTATCATTTCTTTCTGCTTGCACCATTTTGTCTTGAGCATTCTAGCCAGCAACTGGTTATGACAATGTAGTGACATAACTTGTCTTTCCATTGAGCATGATATTCATCATTTATATAGTTTGAATCACTGATTTTTAAGGAAATCTTTGTTTTGGTGAAAAAATTCTGTTATATTGTTGTTCTTCACTGTCCATGGTTCTACCACATTTAATATAACGGGTTAGATTAACCACTTGTTGAGAATTCTTTACTTTTTTGGTTTCATTTCCTAAATATTTTTTTATATAGTCTTCCAATTCTCTGTATATTATTGAACCACAATACTCGTATAGATGGTGTATTGAACAAAACATCTGTTAAATTTTGCTTTAAAATTTTGTATATTGTGTTTATTTATTGTAAATTTTATATTTCGTGCTTGTATTAAAATTAAGTTATATGAATTTTATCTGCATTATATATTTCCTACCAATTTTTTATTAAACAATTTAATAAATTTCTAACAAAATTCCTTCCCTGATTATCTTACCAAATGCATTCAAATAATAAATTCATTTTTTAAAATAAAAATCCTATAAGTAATTCAAATTTTTCAAGTCGTCAGTATTTTTATTTAACACGAATTCTGAGTATGTAAGATTCATTTATAAAATAAATTTCTGAATCCAACATTCTTGGGAGGATTTTCATTTTAATGCCCAGAAACAATCAGCAAATCGCGTAAATGGTGCAAATCATCTCAAAAATTTATGTGCCATAATTTGCATTTCATTGTTTATCGTCGTCGTCGGTGACAGAGTGAAGACGTTCGAGGTGTACTAGCGCACACATTTGGAAACGTTTGGAACATGCAATCCCTCTCTTAGTGATGTTGTTGTTTTTACTGCAAATGGTTGTCGCATATCCTAGCATCTGAATGTGTCGTATACTTGTCTGTAGTTGGATGTTAATTAAGTATTTGCAAAACCAAAGTCCTGGAATTCGTGCTAAGAATTACCTGACACAGCAAATTAAAATAAAGAGCAAAGCAATAAATTATTTGTCAACTTCGTTATTTTCACTTTATTCACATAATTGTTGTTGTCCTTATTAGTGTTATAATTGCTACAAGAATTGCTCGCATTCACAACTTCTGTTCATTTCACTATTCATTTTCCATTTTCCGCATCGAATTTCCAAGTTCGCTAATATTTTCAATATTAACACAAAAGCAATAAATCTTTCCTAATGCAATAAGCAAAAAAAAGGATAATAATTTATAATTTTCTGTTTATTTCTGTATTTGCGTTTGCATTAAATTTACTGAAACGAAAATATGTCAACAAACTGAAAATCCATTTGAAGTCTTCAGTAACAGAGTAAATATTTCATTTAGAGTTCAACTGAACCCTGGGCAATAAGAAGAAAAAACCTTTGGCAAATTAACAATTCCAGAAATTTGTCATAGAACCCATAAGGCTTAAGAAGTTCACATGCAATATTTCTCCAAGGAACTGTGTTAATTTGAGTTCATTTAAAACTGTTTCTTCTCCTTTTTTGTGTTAATAACTGGGTAAGAAAGTACAAATATATTAAATGAACTGTCATTAATTAACTCAGATTCGGTATATGAAAGGTTTTTACTACTAATTTCTAACCTCAATATGAGTCAATGCACATATTCGTGTGTATCTTTCTTATGTTTATATCCTTACTACAGAGGATGAAAAACTGCTGCAATATATTTTTTTGTTGTTTTTGCAAAATATTAACAAATACTTACGGGTTGTTTCTTGTATTTCATTTCATTAAATGGGAAGAAAAAGATTTTTGAAACATAAAAACAAGAATTTAGCAGAAAAATTTCTGTTTTAGTTATATCAATAAGTGCTTAAAAACCAATCAAAAAATTCTTTAAAATATATTTAATATTGCATTTTAATATTTTAATATTCTTGAAATATTCACCAAAAAAAAAGTTGTTCTCCAAAATAAGTACCTAAAAAAGAAATTAGTTTTTGATTCAAAGAATTAATTAAAAAATGATAAAAATATAATATTTCTAACTGATATAATATTTTAAAATAAATTGTGATTTGTGAAAAGATGAATTTGGTGCCTGGTATCAGCTTTACTTCTTCCACTTGATGCACTTGACAATCTACACCACTTTTACTGTGAAACTATCTTTAATGTTTTTTATTAAATCATCACGAATCCTACCTCTATCACTTGAATTCTTCTTAGCGTAGCTAAAGAACTGTTGAGGTGACCATCTCTTTACTGGAAAGCTTAGAGACTCTTACTTTAATGCACTTAGTAATGTTGTCAATAGAAAGATTTGTATTAATACTAGAGTTTCTGATTTTCGATTGGCGATCTTGGATAACTTTCAATCGAGATTTACTTTTACTACAGTTTTCATTCTTGATTGTTTTTACTCCGACATAATGTATAATACACGATAGTAATTTATAATTCTCTAGATATTTTGCCAAATTAATGAAACCACTCTTTAATTTACAGCTGTTTAATGTTATTTGATAACAGCATTTAGCGATTACCCTAAAATACAATTGGACCACAAATTTAAACAAAAAATGACAGATCGAGAGCAAACCTAGATTTGTCAATGTAGATACTGCAGTTATATGTATAAATTATCTTAACGGATCTTCCCTTCACTCAATAACTGTCCCATAAGTTTTTAAAAATATTACGCAACTAATATAAAAACTGGGTAAGAAATATACCTATATCATTCATGATATATGATCATTTTATTTGTCTGTCTTAATTGTCATATATTGACTTGATTGCAAAATACCTCAGTATTTTTGTTAAAAAATTAAGTCAGTTTATTTGGTGGTAAGTTTCTTGGCATTAACAAATTGTTACAGATATAGGTACGAGTTACAATCCGTTATAATAACAATAATAATGTCAGACTGATACGATTTATATGATATGTTGTATATGATTATATGATATGACCTTAGTTGAAACTTCTTCACTAAAATCACGGAATTGTTGCTATATTACAAAAAAGGTGTAAAAGCAGCTGTTGTCAAAATTTAACATCTATTTCTTGAATCCAAACTACCTTGTATTTTTTTTAACGTATCAACTTCCAGTAGAAAACTTTGATATTATAATTAGTTCCATATAAATAGTTTATAACAATACTGTGATGAAACTGCAGTTTCTTAGCTTCTTTGCGACTGTTCACATATTACACATTATAAGCCTCATCGACTTTTTTGATATTGATTGACTCGATCAAAGGGTGAACATCCTAAAATTAATAGTTTATAATGTTAATGATTTATAGCAAATCGTATAACTTATTTTCGTAAATCCGTGCTGCATTCTTCCTTTTATAATAATGATTATCATTAATTATCACTAATTTTCTATCTATTTTCTTAAATTTCAATATTTAATAGGAGAAGAAGAAAATAACGCCAAATATCTTTTATCAATCGAGGGATTTAACTCACTCACTACGATCTCTCAAGGACCATATTTTATTTCCACATTTTCTTCCGTTCAGTGAAGAAAATATCACTATATGCTACACATGGATAGACTATTGATATATAAGACTCTCCGCAGACTATACATACTACTTCGTATAATGATTCAGCGAAGTTATGACAATGTCCATATAATTAGAATTATTAAACTCAATTTGTTGCTATTTCTAATATATACATAGAACTATAGAAAAAG